TCCTTCCTCCCTTTTCCTTTGTCTTACAGTGTTTTCCTTCCTTCTCTTCCCTTGCTTTGTCACATCTGGCAAAAAAACGTTTTGCTGAAGACATGCACTCCCTCTGGCCCTTACAATCTTTCTGCTTCCTCTTCTCCAATGATCCCTGATCCTTGTGAGTAGGAGATATACTATTCCTATCCCATTTAGAACTGAATGTTCTACAGTCTCTTAATCTGTGCACATTGGTGATTTGTATTAATCACTCTTTACTGAAGAAAGACTTCTCCGATGAAGGCTGACAGATGTACTACTCTATGGGTGTGGTGATAAGAACTTGGGAAGCAGTTTAATATAATGTCTGTTTGGCAGAATAGTGGTAGTAGGTTTACCCCAGGGCCTATAACCTAGAAAGCCACATAATTGATGCAGACAAAAGTACCAGGTATAAGTTCCATCTTAATGGCCAGACTTTAAATCCAATCAGAAAGAGGTTGGTTATTACTGTAATATTCATACCACTATTGCCCAGTAGGCATATCTTGCCAGTCCGGTAGTTAATATAGCTCTCGGGGTTAACACCTAGCTGTTTGTTTAACAAATCGCTTTGCCTTTGATGTTTGAGAAGTAAAGGTGCTTATATACTTTTCTGTCTTTCTTTCAGTGCCTGAAACAGTATGTTGAGCTCTTGATCAAAGAAGGGCTAGAAACTGCAATTAGCTGTCCGGATGCTGCCTGTCCTAAACAGGGCCACCTTCAGGAGAATGAAGTACGTTCAGGGAGCGAACACATGATTTGTTGCCTGTGTACGGTTGGTTGGCTGTGTCTGGCTAATCAGGATGCTGTGGTTTTCTGCTTGGCCTTACGTGGTATTATGTTCTAGCTCTCTTTGCATTACCATCATTACCTGTCATCATTTTTTTCCCCTTTCAGATTGAGTGTATGGTTGCAGCTGAAATTATGCAGAGATATAAAAAGCTACAGTTTGAAAGAGGTAGGTGGCCTCCTGTATAGCCCACTTTGAATCTTATAACAGAAGGTGGGTAACTTTTATGGGACCTTTTTTGGGAGACAAGAGTATATGTTATTTGGTGAGAGTGAAAAAAATTGCACCTCTGGAATAATGTTGGTGAAAAATCCTCTGAGCTGATCACAGCCTGGTGGCCTGGGAATGTGATCTATTTGGCACCAAGAGGGACTCAGGAGACATGATTTATGTACAGATTGGGACTTCTTGTTAGCTTAAGGACATCCCTAGTTCACTTTGTTTTTCATCCTGGTTTAGGTCTGTTTGGCTTTGGAAACTCTTAGACTCCCCCTACGTTGAAAAGACTCAAAGGCATGGGAGGAGGTCCCAAAGCTTGGTACGCCCGAAAGTACCACTGTCTAGCACTGAATCTAGATTTAACCTGCTGTAGTTCATTGCCCCTTGCAGGCTTAGCTAGCAGTGCTCATGAGTAAATGAGCCTTGAGACTCAGTGAGTATCACTGGCCTGATATACCAAGGTCCACTGTGCCCATACCCATAGCCCTTGAGTGACATCACTAGTTTCTAATCCTAGTAGGAGTCTGGCCACAGCCTCAGCTCTGAGGGCCAGCACCTCACCTCCTGCTGGGCCCTTCACAGACCTTCCTACTAGATGCAGTCCTGGTGAAGACAGAGAGATAGGTGTGTGGAGTGGATTGAGAGGACTAACTGATGTTCACTAAGCACTAGACATGTTGGATGCCTGGGGAGGTTTTCATCTTTGCTCTCTCAGATGCTCTGCACTCATGAAATGCTGTTTGAAAGAACTTACAGACCCCCTTTGCTCCGATTTCAGAGACTTGAGGTTATCTGCAAAGAGCAGATCAGAGACTGCAATGCAGGTGGCTTTTGCTTGCAGAGCTTCTGTGAGGGCACCCAGGAAGTGCTCTCATTAACCGTGCAGTGGAAGCTGCTGTGACCACATCCCTCTCCCTAGCCACTGTGAGCCTGTGTCAGAGGTCTGCTGCTGAGCTAGATTCCAAGGTGATCTGCTTACATGGAAATGCAAAATTCAGAGCAGGAGATACCAGTGACAAGGGGCTCTAGACACTCCATGGTGTCAAGCTTAAAATGAAAATAGGAGAAATACTAAAGATGATCTCTAATTGACTTAAAATATAATATGTACATACTTTTTGTGTATACCTGTATTTTCTATGTAAATGTATATGTGTGAACAACTTCAGAAATCAATCAGGGGAGTGGAGAGACGACTCAAAGGTTAAGAACACTTACAGTTGTTCTTCAACAGGATTTTGCTTAGATTCCCAGCACCCAGGTGGTGGCTCAGCATCATCTGTCACTCCAGTTCCAGGTCTGACACCCTTTTCTGGCCTCTGTGAGCACCGCATGCATGAGCATCATATACATCCATGCAGACAAACACATGCAGACTACATACAGGCCCATAAAATTAGATTAAAGAAAGTTCTCACAAGGTCAATAAGGATTTTTAATGGCTTCAAAATTTGTTTTCCAGAGTTTGTTTTTTTAGATGGCCTCCATCGTTCTTGCTGGGACAGCTTCCCTTAAATATAATATCACTCAGCGTTAAAGACAGAATGAGGAGTTACAAAATCGATTCATTTGGATCTCTGAGAATCTCAGATTCTTTTAAACTCATTTTCACAGGATCTTAACTATTGTTAACTGGGGGTCGGGTTGTATAGATCTCAGGGAGATGAACTTTCTATGACATCAGGTTTAATTCAAAAGTGCAGCTGGGTAGATGTTCCTACCAAATAATTTTAAGCTTTCTTTTCCCTCCCAGTACTTTAGCTGAGTCTAAAAGTTTCTGGCTCTTGAATAAGAAATGAATCACCTTAACTTAGGTTAGGAAAATACTGAAAATTCTCACTAGAAAACATCTTAGCAGGCTTACATCGGGTCAGGTTTAGAGAGGATTTGGACTTAATACCACAGAAGCGCCAGCCAGATGGCATGTGGGACCTAAGACACAGCTGCCTGCTCCAGCCAGCACCTTGGATGAACCTAGAGAAGTGATCTCAAAGCCAACTATGACTCACTTCACTCCTTCAAAATTTAGTCTGTGGAGGATGCCTTAGGGGGAAGTTCATTTAGATGATTTTCTAACAGGTAGTTACAGAGAAGTCCTACAGTTAGTTTTAGCTTAAAAGGTTCTTTACTTAGCCCCCCTGCCACACATATACCCTGGTGTCTTGACTGACCTCTCCCCCTGAAGTCTTTGACCATCTGGAAGCCACGGAGGGTTCTTAGCTACTGCTTCTGCCTTCTGGAACCTTCTCTACGCCTAGGTAATGACAGGCTCTGGAGAGATGCCCATGGAGTACTCTTTTGTGCATGCCTGGCCTGCAGTGTCTGATTATGTGCCATGGAAGGCTACATGTGTTTCTTTCCATGTCTGTCTGGAAGATCTCAACTACATCCTCTGTTTGTTACAAGAAAAAAAAAATCTCAGAGTGATTAATAGCATGACCAGGTATGTTTCCATCCCTAACGAGAGCCTTCAAATTTGCACTGTCTTCCAAACAAGAACTTGCCCACCACCACAGATGAGGACCAGAGCACTGGGCAAATCAGACAACACAGCAACAGGGAACAGGGTGTGTTGGGTACTGGTCCCTCAGTATACTTTAGCCTACCATTTGTCTTTAAAATGTAAGCCACCTTTGTAAATAGTGTTTGGACATTTTTCTAATAGTGCTGTTGGGACTCTGCTTCACTGAGGGTCCTTAAGAAATCTGTGTTAACCCCAGCCTCCTAATGAAAGATTCTGCACTAGTTTGCCTCTGGCAGAGTAGAGTCATGACTTGATTATTTTGCTTGCCCAGAAAGCATAGTTTGCCTCATGTAAACATATCTTATGTGCATACATGTGCATATATATGACAGTAGATATAATACACTATGTATGATGCAGCATGGACCATGGATTATTAATAGATGCTGGTGACAGGAAAGCTGAGGGACGCATCTATACATTCTAAGAGAAGCACAGGAATGCTGCCAGCTGTGGGCTTTGTTATGGATTGCTCCTTGCTTGTGTGCACAGACGGCAGAATTGAGCAGCGAGGACAATAACATATTAATAGCTTTCTGCTAGATTGGGGGTGCTGTATAGCTGGGCATGAGGGGGCCTCAGAGCAAGGCTGATGCCTGTAGTGCGCTCAGAGACAAATCACTTCACCTCATCTGTAGGGAATCTTTCTATGATGATAGGCAGGGTCATAGCATTTCCCTGAGTAAAACAGTCATAGACTTGGAATTGTTGCCATGGAAACCTTCCCTAGGTCTCCTCTCCATGCCATAGCAGAGTGGGGCCTTGTGTGATAAAGGAGCAAGGTAGACTCACTGTTGTCAAGGGTGGTAGTACTTGTCAGGAAGTGTGTGAAAAGAAACTTGCCCCAAACCTCACTGATATCTGGGGCTTCCAGAGCAGAGGGAAGTTCGGCAGGCAGGACATACAAATTCCAAGGGTCTGAGACAGAAAGCCTACTCCAGCAAGGTTCGCCTACAGCATGAGAGTAAGCATAAAGCCAGAGGCCTGTCTTCATTCACACATTCAGCATGTTAAGTGCCCATGTCTCCCTCTCCCCAGAAATTCATTCAGTAGCTATGCAGATAGACTGTGTCATATCTGGTCTGGGGCCAGGCTGACTCCCCCAACAGGTGCACAAAGAGAGGTAAAGTTGAAAGTTGCTGTGTGTGTGTGGAAGGGGAAGGGCTGCTAGCAGAGAGAATCCTGAGGGTCCTTGGGCTGTGGGTGCTCCCTGGGGATTTCTCTCAGTACATACCTGAGGGCTGTTAGGTTTTAGGGAGCTTTGAGGCACCACAAGCCTACTGGACAACACTTCTTCATGTGTCCCAGATCTATCTCTATATGTATCTACATGTTTATTGGGCATGAGCCTTCTTCAGATAGCAAACATTGACAGCCAAGTTGGACAGTAGCCACTGTTTATTTGTTGTCAGGAGCACCTCAGATGTTCATAATGAAGTCAATGTGGAATGCAGTTCTCAGTTCTTGAATGTCACTTACATTTCATATATATGTCACTTATATGTCACATTCATGTCACATACAGTCTCTCAGGACCTTACAGTCATAGCAACAAGATCCTTTTATGCTTTTGATGAACACTTCTTAATAAAGAAGGAGTAGTTACCTTGGGTTAAGAGTCTGCCAGCCATGGCTGGTGGGCTAACCCATCTCCAACCCCCAGCTGTGATAATTAAGGTTTCCCCAGAACTTTCATTTGTGGGTTGGTCCTTCTGATCTCAACCCAGCAGCAAACAAAGTAGATGTCACAGAAAACCAAAAATCACATGGTCTATAATGATGTAAATCATCCCCACCTCGCCCTTTATAGAGGCTGGCCTGCCTCCAGTAGGTAAGACCATTACTGATCTTAGAACTGACAAGCTTGCTCCTCCAGCACCGATCAGAGTGTCCCCTATAATTGGATCAACATGGAACCCACCAGAAAGGCGCACATGTGTGTATGAGGTCAGGGCTGTGCAGCGTTAGACCTTGAAACTGAGGGTTTATTTGGCTCACAGTTGAAAGCTACATACTCCATAAGTTCTGTAAATAGGGAAGGCCTGGTAGCAGGAATGGGAGATAGCTGGTCACATTGCATCCTCAGCCAGGACACAGAAAATCCCGAATAACTCTTCTTAGCTTGATCATTCCTTTTTATCCAGTCTAGGACTCCAGTCTGTGAAATTGTCTTGCCAGAGGCTTGTATCCTAGGTGATCAAATCTCCTGTGGAGTTGACAGTCGGTACTAAAAATCATGACCCTCTGCACTGTCAGTTGGGTGTTCCCATTAGGTGGAGTGCCTGCCTTTGGATTGGGTGAGCTACAACCATGTACAGGCACAGGGCCAGGAGGTTTGCAAGCAAGCATGTTCACTGCTCCCCAGATTGCTTCTCAAGAACAGCCTGAGTGCAGAGCTGAGGGAGGGCTGGCAGTGTGTGCAGGATTAGGGAGATGATCCTGTCACTTGCTGGCCTGCCATGGTCCCTGCTGTTAGCCTCCTGCTTGTCTCCTTCCTGGTGAAAGTCTACTAGAGATGAGGGAAATGGAGATGCCCTGCTGGCTCACCATGGAGGGCAGCTCAGGACGAATTATAGATGCAGGTCTTGGATCTGGATGCAAAGGAAGAGGAATGCCACCGTATCCTGTTTTTAAACTAAACTTCCTGACCAATCCCATCAAGTCAGGCTTTGCAGTAACTTGGGCTTAATCTGCACAGAAGACACGCTTCTAGTTTTTACCCAGTATTTAGGGAATCACCCTTGGTAAGAGAATCTGTCTTGGGTACATGAACCACCCTATTAGAAGACTGAGAACAAAATTAGATACCTAGGTCTGGAAATGTCATAGCAAAACAACATGGTTTTGTATGCTTCCTTTAAAAAGTAGTAAAACAATAAGACTAGTGCAATATCTCCTTCCTTCCTTCCCTCCTTCCTTTCTTCCTTCCTTCATTCTTTCCTTCTTTTCACCATTCAGCAAATATTTGCAAGTGATTGTGGATGACCCTGGCACTGGGTGATAAGGTTTTAAGAAAAAGGCTCTCACCTGACTTCAGGAAATATGTCCTGCTTGTGGTGGGGGAAGGAGAGGACAGGTCACAGACAAAGATCTGGTAATGTTGACACTCAGAGGAACTGGGCTGGGTGATAATTTCTCCAAAATATAACGGAACTGGAGGTTAAGATGGCAGCTGAGGGAGCCCTGGGCACACCAGGTCCAAGGTAAAAAGCTGAGAGGGGTTTGCATGGAGTTGTATGAACAAATGAGCAGTAAAGAAGCAAGTTGTCTGGGGGAGTGTCTGGCTGGGTCACCTCGAAGTCCTTCATTCTGACTGCTCTGGGTGGGGCCCCAGAGGGTCTCCATGTTCACCCTTTCCGGTGCTCATGGTATCCTGAATCTGATTTTTTGCCATTTGTCTCCTTGTGCTAGAGGTGCTCTTTGACCCTTGTCGGACGTGGTGCCCAGCATCCACCTGCCAGGCCGTGTGCCAACTCCAGGACATAGGACTGCAGACCCCGCAGCTGGTGCAGTGCAAAGCCTGCGACATGGAATTCTGCTCCGCTTGCAAAGCCCGCTGGCACCCTGGCCAAGGCTGCCCAGAGACCATGCCCATCACATTCCTTCCTGGGGAGACCAGGTACTGTGTAGGAGCCATGGTACAAAGAGTGGTCTGGGAGCTGAGGGCTGGGGGCTAAGGGTGGGGTCAAGCAGAAGAGGTGGACGTCCTTCCCAAAAGTATCACCTGAGAACATGTGGCTATACATGCTTTGAACTCAGAACACACTCCATCTTCCAAGTCTCTTTCAGATCTGTGGTTTACTTGTGAGAACATTTGCCAGGTGTAACCCAAGACTCTGAAAGTACAAAGATGCATTAAAAACCACCCTCTACTCCCTGCATGAAAGGATAGAAGCACATTAGATTACACGCCCAGATTAATTCCTCTGGTACCTGCAGGTTTTCCAGAGCTACCCTCTGTTGGAGGTTATCTGAAATGGAAGTGCAGGAGTAAGATCACTAGGCATAGTAGGTGATGGTGACAAGCAAAGTCACTAGTGGGTCCACAGGTACCTGAAGCCAAGAGCCCCATGTGTTTCTGAAATTCTGAGTCTATTAGAACATAGCAAAAGACTACAATATTTCTTTCCTCTTGCTTCTCCTAGTCAGATAACTCAGCTGTTTGGCCTGGTAGACTTCATAGATGAATTTAATAGAGTGAACCATAAGAAACTGGTTATATCAAGGGCATTTCCCCACAATAAAATCTATACTATAGTGTAGTTCAGCTAGACAAAGTGGCTGTGGTCCTGATGACCACACTCTCATGGCTGTGCACTCCCTACCCAAATGGGGTCCTCCCCGACCTGGTCCCTGATTTCTTTTGTTTTTCTGTCCTCAGGAAGGTACCTCAGCCATGCCCCAGTCACAGATCCTCTGTTGCCCTCCCATCACAGGACTGTCCTCTCACCCTTTGTCCCTAGGTCTACAAGTCCACCTTGTTCCCTACCAGAGACTCCTTGCCACCCTTGGCACAGGGTCCCTATCCATTGTGTCATCTCTATCCCCAGGGTAGTAATGGTGACTACATCCTTCGTTTTCCTATTGCAGCTTGGATGCATTGACCACCATCCAGGACTTCTTATTTTAGGTCACATGTTCCCATGGCTGGTGCTTCTCCTGTCAGGGGCTACGCATGCTTGATGTTTGACCTGGCATACATCAGGCATTTGATACTAGCAAAGGTCACTGAATTTAGATGTAGAGTTATAGAAACTTCCAGACTCTAGGAAGAAACATACTTCCTAGAGTCTTGGCTTGAATCAAAGTGATCGGTAGAGGTTGATTTCCAGGCAGAGGAGAGCCAGAAGCAGATCTACCCAGGGAAGCAGTCCAGTGTTTTGTCTTTAAGAGTAATCCTTAGTAAGTAAGTGAGTGAGTCCTGCCTCTTAACAGGAAGGACAGGAATAGAGGACCCTTCCTAGTAGAATGGAGGAGGCTCCCAGACCAGGCATTTTCTTATCATAAAACTTTACCAAAGCTGGGGATAAGCTCGGTCAGTAGACTACCTGCCTATCATATTCAGTCCCCACTACTGCATAAACCAGACATTGTAGCTCATGCTTGATATCCTAGCATTTAGGGGGAAGTTGACACTGAGCAGCTTCTGGGGTTACTCTCCATTTTATATATTGAGAGAGGGTCTGTCAGTTGACCCCAGAGCTCATCAATCAACCACACTAGCTATCTAGAGTGCCCTGGGGATACCCTGTCCTTACCTGCCTCTATCACTAAGATGTAGAGAGATACCACACCAACCAATATTTTATTTGGGTTCTGGATATCCAAACTTCAGTTCTTGTGGTTGCATGGCCCACACTTTCCCCATTGAACCATCTTTCCAGCCTTTCCCAGAATTTCTTAACCTATCACATTCCATTGGTGGACAGAACAGAACCCCCATCAGGAGCGTATGCCTCACGATGCTTAGGAAGCCCATGGGCATGATCGTGAGGAATGCTCATGGCTGATCCTCAGGCAAGTTGTGCTAGATGAATTGGCATTTAACTCTGACATTTACTGTGGTCCTTCCAAATGATCCCTCTGCCAAGATGCCTTCCTTAGAGACACTATCTGACGTCAGTCACTGTGCACTCAGACAAGTTGAAAACACTGATTGGCTCAAAGTGGAGCCATCTTTTTGCAAGTCATGCCAGATGGATGCTGTGGGTTCTGACATAGTACAGTATGTGCCCCAGTAATATGTGACATTTTTTGGCCTTTCCCAGTTTATTCTCCCAGATATTGTCATGAATATCTATCTCAAAGAATAGCCATCTTTAAAAAAACTAAAAGAAGACAATGGGTGATCTTGTTCTGCCATGCCGAAATGCCTGTTTTACTTTTGAAAAGCTAATTAACAATATTGACTTATTGTCACTTAAAAAAAAATCAGTTACTGTCTTAGTCACTGTTATATTGCTGTGAATGACACCATGACAGAGGCAACTCTGATAAATAAAAGCATTCAACTGGGGCCTGGTTTACCGTTTCAGAGGTTGAGTCCATGATCATCATGGTGGAAAATAGACAGGCATGGTGCTGGAGCAGTAGCTGAGAGTTTTACATCCTGATCTGCAGGCAGCAAGCAGAAAGAAGGAAAGAGAGAGAAAGACACTGGGCATGGTGTGAGCTTTTGAAACCTCAAAGCCCACCTTTCAGTGGTACACTTCCTGCAGCAAAGCCATACTTATTTCCAAAAGGCCACATGTCCTTACCCTTCTAAGTCTTCTTAAACATTCCGTGGTGACTAGACATTCAAATATATGAGCCTATAGTGGCCATTCTCATTCAACCCCCGCCCCTCCCCACAGCTACTTTACCTAGCCTCGTACTGAAGACAAGTTTGTCGAGGTGTCCTATAGTCAGCATCTGTCACCAGACAAAGCTAATAACTATTGCACATCCATCCCAAGTCCCCAAGGAAACAGTTGTGTAAGGCAAGCCAGGTAGATCATCTGAAGCAAGTGTGTATCTTCATGTACATATGTGTGTGTTTATGATTTTTTTTTCTGACAAAATTTATTATCCACTCTTTGGAAAATGTACACATTTGTGAAGGCTTTTTTTGGGTTCTATTATAGAAATCTAAATTTATGTATGTGCTGATGTTGCTTTTTGGTTTGTTTTGCCTTAATCTAGCAGATTCACCATAGTTTGGCTGTTTTTTTTTTTTCTGGAGCTTTTGTTTCTTTAGCTTTGCATCGCTTCCTTTAGTAGCAAGAAGCCTGGGGTTCCCTGCAGTAGAGAGGTACTCCCAGAACAGCCCTGCGGCTGAGTTTCTCTTGATCCCTACTGCGTGACCCTCATAGTATGTCTCCCACAGCTCTGCTTTCAAGATGGAAGAGGGAGACGCACCCATCAAACGCTGCCCCAAGTGCAGGGTGTACATCGAGCGGGATGAGGGCTGTGCACAGATGATGTGTAAGAACTGCAAGCATGCCTTCTGCTGGTACTGCCTGGAGTCTCTGGATGTGAGTACTATGCAGCCTCGCATGGGAGCCATGAGCTGTGGATTCAGATATGTGGGAGAGGGATCTGGGCAAACCCCCAACTGGAACTCCCTCTTCAGGTGATTCTAGGTTGTGTCAAGTTTACAGTTAAACCTGAACAGGTGGGCATCTTTCCAAAATGATGGTACTATGACTTTAGTTTTGGAAGAGTTTGATCATATCATCTTTAAAAGAATATCCTGATGTGGTGGATTTAAAACCACCTGTTAAGCATTGTAGTAAGCATGTCCCAAGATGGGTCTATTTATCTCTTTTCTGGACAGCAAAGATGAACATATTCAACACCTTAGCTTTAGTAGGAAGCCATGAGACGCTTAGGCATGAGATGCTTAGGCACAAAACTGAAAGCACAGTGAAATCATGTCTAAGCCACGTGATCATCATTTCCTTATATCAACTTGATTAAATTTAAAAATCCTAGGGCATTAGGGGTACAAGAATGTGTGTGTGTGTGTGTGTGTGTGTGTGTGTGTGTTCCTGTGTAAAGCTAAGGATTAACTGAGAAGGGAAGTCCCACCCTAAATATGGATGGATGAGTGGCTCTATCCCCTGGGCTGTGGTCCCAGATAGAACGAAAATGAAAAAGAAAACCACCAACTAAGAACCAGCATCCGTCTCTCTGTGCTTTGCCATCTGCCCCATATGTGAACAGGGCAACCTCACACTCCCATCATCAAGCCTTCTCAACCATGTTGGACTGTGCATCCTCAAACCAAGCCCAAATAAAAGCCTTCCTTTCTTCTGTGGCTTCTCGTCAGGTGTTTGACCACAGCAAAGAATGAAGTAACAGTACAGACCTTATGTCAGTCCTCAGGTGCGTAGGAAAAGCCACCTTCAGTATACATCCATCATGCTCCGTAGGCCTGTTCTGCACCTGGGCAGTTACACTCTGGTGGATAAGTAACTGTCCATCAGTGTGGAGGAAATATCAGTTAGGCATTCCAAGAGGAGAAAGCTCCCAGCAGTGGAAGTGTCAGATGCAGTTGTGGGATCCAGGGTCACGGTCTTCAAGGCCCAGCCCCTCTGTGATGGGTCGACATGATGGGATATATACTTTACATCTGGGCATGTCTGTGAAGAGGTTTCTAGAGGGGGTTAATTGAGTTAAAATGTGGGTTGAAGTCCTTGACTGAACAAGCTGGAAGAAGCTAACTGGCTGCGATGTGACCAGCTGCCTCAAGCTTCCGAACAAAACCATACTTTATAATACTTTCAGACTGTGAGCCAAAGTGGTCCCCTCCCAAGGTCATATCATAATAACAAAGAAAGTAGCTAACAGACACTGCCAGATAGGAAACGCTATGGTATGCAACTGGGACACATCCCACAGGGAGGACAGTTTTTGATGGATGTGAAGTCCACTTGCAGAGCGACATGGGGCTAGAGGCTAGAAGATGGGGTTGGCTGGGGACGTGAAAGTTGAGCAAGAGTTTATTCACCTGCCAAATAGAACAAGGGATGTTGTAGCTAGCAGTTACAAAAGAATTGGACACTAAAAAGGCCTGATGTGGCCAGAAATGCTATGTGGGAAGAGCTGAAGTCAGAATGGAGTAATGCTCTTCTCTATGTGTGAGGCTGAAGGCTTTGACCTCCCTCAGGACCTGGATACCTGGCAAAGCAGCCATGCAAAGACAGATTGGATCAGAACCCCTTATAGTGTCTGGAAAGTGAGTTTGCCCTTTGCTTGTGGGTCAGCATTGTTATCAGAATTGTTAGGATCAAAACCTGGACTTTGGTAGCCCTCACAACTAGACTTAGTGACGTAGCCTCCATACCCCAGTAAGGAAGCAGAAAAGTTTATTCATAAGTAGTCCAGTGACCCCTGCCTTCACCCCCATGGACTCCTCTTCCAGGTACTGGCATGAGGTTTAGGTTTAGATAGAGGGCAAGAGATAAGACAGAATCTAGCAACCTTGGCCAAGGTGTGGTCCTGTCCATCACTGACTTCTCTCTTAACTCTGCTGCACAGTAGCCTAAGTCGTCAGAATGTTGTGAACTTTTCCTGAGAGTGACAAATCCTGCCTCCCATTGTACCAGGCTTCAGCTTATTTCTTCTCTCATCTTGAGACTCCTGGGAAAACCCCAAATCCTTGAAGTGCGTTTTTAAAAATAGTCTTAGAGGCTGGCATAAAAGCTGTCACTGAAGTCAGGACCCATTATCTCAGAGCTGGGAAGGCAGGGGGATCCCTGCAGCTCATTGGACAGTCAGTCTAGCTGAATTTGTGAGCTATGGGTTCAAGCTACTGATGTCTCAAGTATCTTTCTTTAGAATATTTCTGTCTCTGCCAGGGTGGTCACACTATCCATGGGGTTTCCTTTGCCACAGACTGTCCAGAAGGATTGGATGACCAATACACTCTTTCAAGGGCAGACATCAGTGAAGACTCTAAAGTAGCTGATGTCCTGTGTGTGATTTAGAAAACAACTTCAGAGCCTTTTAGAGAGCTCGCAGAATAAGATGCTATGATAGGCAGATTGGGACAAATGAGACAAGCACACTTAAGCTGTCCTCTGGGGTAATGTACTATTAACATCTATGTGAAGGAAAAGGCAATTAAGACTCCAAGAGAAGAGCTCTCAGCGGGCAGAAGTGGCCAGATGCAGTTTCAACAGAGACACATCTGGAGCTACAAATAGCTGTGAGCTCACCTGTCTAAGGAGGGTGAGACAGTTGCTGGGCTTCTGCCTCCAGTGGTCATTGCCTGGAACTGCATTGTAAAAAAAAAACGATTTTCTGCCACACTGCCATATAGTCAGACCATGGAAGGCTGGACCTTAGGATAGAAAACTCCAGGGTGGTTCCCCTTTCAGCATGAGAGGCAAACTAAGTCCATAATCCCCTGTTGATCTGATGGGACAGAAGTTGGTGAGTGGTATCGTAGGCTCTTCTAGTTTTCTTGTCCTTTCAATCATATTAGACCCCATGGGTATTCTTAAAAGGAAGCTTCTCATTGGTGGCCTGAGTTAAATGAGCAAAAGTTATTGGCCTGCTGGGTGCTGTTTCCTACCTGTTTCCTGTGTTGGTGATGGTCAGGCAGGGCTTCCTGTCTGTGGAGGAGAGAACACCTACCTCTGATACTCAGTGGTGCTGATACAGATTAGGTTACACTGAGTGATGATCATCCTCAGAGGGACCAACATAATGAGCCTTCAGTCCAGGAACCTGGCAGTCTGGAGGTGACTGTCCTGAGAATGTGAGGTAGGGCCACCTGGAGGGAGACATGGGCCAGGCAGTTCTCTGTGCACTGTGAAAGGATCCCTGCTCACGCTAGACTGGGTAGAGGGTGGTCCCCGGACTAGCTCTTGAATAAATAGAAACATGGCAGTGTTCTGAGCTGAGGGAGGCCTAACCTGATGAGAAGCTGTCCTGGTATTGTGGGATTTGACACAGGCAGGCCCCAGAGGAACTCTAGAGACTCAGAATTTGATCTTTCTCTTCATTCATGTGTGTTGGTACAAGCTCCAGAGGGAGCCTCTACACCCAGGAGACGCCTGGCTCAGTACTGAAATCTAGCCCAGACTCCCTCTATAGGCCAAGGCCCACAGTTCCTTCTGGCTGCTCTGTGGAGAGGGATAATGGCCAAGAGGAACAGTCTCCAGGCATGCAGCACATGCATGCCCTTGCTGTAACTTTTGCTTGTGTCCATATAGTGTGTATCTCGGAAAGATAAAACAGACTGAAGTGTTCAAAAGACTGAGAGTCCGAGTCCAGCTTTCACTGTAGACCTTTCTCTGCCCTTCATAGGATGACTTCCTTCTGATACATTATGACAAGGGGCCCTGCCGCAACAAGCTGGGCCACTCCCGAGCGTCAGTGATCTGGCATCGGACACAGGTAAGAGGCTGTCCACTTGGAACTTTGATCTCCAGAAAAATGTGGGTATGTGAGTGCGTTTGTGCGTGCGTTCATGCATGTGTGTGTGTGTGTTCTAGAAGATGTGTGTGTGTGTGTGTGTGTGTGTTCTAGAAGATGAATGTATGCGTTCTAGAAGATGAGTGTGGCCGGGCAGTGGTGGCACACGCCTTTAATCCCAGCACTTGGGAGGCAGAGGCAGGAGGATTTCTGAGTTCGAGGCAAGCCTGGTCTACAGAGTGAGTTCCAGGATAGCCAGGGCTATACAGAGAAACCTTCTCTCAAAAAACAAAAAACAGAACAAAAAACAAACAAACAAAGATAAGTGTGTGTGTTTTAGAAGATAAGTGTGTGTGTGTGTGTTTGTGTGTGTGTTCTAGAAGATGAGTGTGCATATGTATGTGTTCTAGAAGATGAATATGTGTGCATGGGTGTGTTCTAGAAGATGAGTGTGCCTATGTATGTGTGTGTTAGAAGATGAGTGTGTGTATATGTGTGTGTTTTAAACGATGTGTGTATGTGTGTCCTAGAAGATGAGTGTGTTTGTGTGTGTGTGTCCTAGAAGATGAGGGTGTTTGTCCTAGAAGATGAGTGTGTTTGTGTGTGTGTCCTAGAAGATGAGTGTGTTTGTGTGTGTGTCCTAGAAGATGAGTGTGTTTGTGTGTGTGTCCTAAAAGACTTGCCAATTAAAAGTGATGCTGATGGCCCTGGCCCAGTGTTCAGAACTCCTTGTGCTTGATGAAGAGCCGTCTAGAGCTGAGAGAGGCAAGCAAGTTGCTAACAGGAAAGGATGGTGGGCAAGTGATGGAACATTTCTGCTGTCTGTACTGTAAGTGGCTCTTGTGTTAGCTGGTTCAGCAGTGTTGAATTATTTGTTGAGTGGTATTTATCACCTGTGTGGCAGGGCCTTTTGAGAGTTGGAGCCACATCTGTAAGACGTTCTTCCATGGAGCCTGCTGTCTATTAGGTGAAAACCAGAGGGATGCTGAACCAGCATTCTCACCCACAACATCAATCATCTCCAGAGGGAGGGGCAGGGATGGGATCTTAGATGAGTGGGTGGGAAGGTTCTTTTTGGGTTAGTGCTACTTCTGAGTGTCAAGGACCTATATGTAAGTGGCTCGGGTAGAGAGGACAGGGGCAGGTGAGGTGCTTGGATCATGGAAGGACAGAGTGGAGAGGGAGTACAGGGTTAGTTTGAGATTTCAGCAATACCATGTCTCAAGTCTTTGCAGGACTTAGAAGGCATGGGTTGGATTCATACTAAAGTTGGTAACTATGAGCCCCAGAATAAAATGCTCCAAAAGTCTGACTTAAAGATCTCTCATATCACATTTAGCAGGAAGTTTTAGGAGAGTGAAGTCTGCAATGTTCCCTAGTTGCTGTGGAAAGGGCTTCTTTCACAGACTTTCCCGTGAATCCTCTGAGGACACTGTGCCAGTCCATCTGAAGACAGAGCCCCACTCTCAGGATGGTAACCTAGAGTTGGGAGCAGATCTAACTGTAACTACCTTTGCTTGGCACTCATTGCTACAAGTCGATGGAACCGGAAACCCATGAGTGTGAGAGTCTGCAGCAGGGCTGAGGGGAAGGACATAAAACCTGTGCCTTCAAGGTGTTACTTAGGAGCAGGTACTGCTCCCAGTGGCTGAGCAGACCTGATGCCCCCTGCTCGTTCTCTGAAAGTAGTGGGGGTGTGAGTTGCTTTGGGATTCTTCGCTTTTCAAGTAGCATCTACTATAAGCATCCATGTGAGAGAATGGCTCTCACAATTGTAGGCTTGTCCTACAATTGATGATGCTAGCTTCTGTATGTATGATGTACAGCATTTCAGAGGCATGTGGGCTATAGGAAAGGGAACACATGACATCAAAGATTAGACTTGGATTGAGATAGACCAAAAGCAATGAACAAGCCTGTGCTCAAGGATAGGGAAGGTCATCACAAAAGTGACGTGAGTATGTGGAGAGCAGAAGTGAAGGGCAGATGTGGCATACATGAGGGAGACTCTTAATGGAAGGCTTCTCCCCAACCCCTCATTCATTTGCAAGCAAGGCTAGGCCCTGTGTTAGGGCCCTGCTGGTTTCAATTTTATCCAAACCTAGCACACCATGGACTGTCCATGACTCCAAAAGACCCCTTTATTCTTGTGGTTTGCCTGGCTTAGTGGCTTGCCTAGAGAGGCCCTGTTCCCCTGCCAGCCTCCCAGTTCCGGATCTAGATGCACCTCCCCCATTTCCTCTTTGGACAGGATTCATGGCTTAGCTCTGCTCTCTACAGACTTGTTAATGATGTGGAGAGACAGAGTTTTATCATCTTCCATCAATATCCTCATGACATTTTTATTGAGTGTTTGCAGAGCACACAGTATTGTAAGAGGGAAATTCAGGAACCTAGTCTAGACTATGCAGGGGTCTGGGGCCACATCTTTTCCTTATGTGTCATAGACATGGGATAAAACCTGTGCAATCCTGTATCTGTATAGCCTTGGTCTTCAGTACTCCCAAATCTCTGCTTCACGCCCCTGCCCAGCTCTGTGATGCCACTTGCACTCCATGCAGCCTATTCAGGCCTTAGATCTGACATGAATATGTGACATCACCCCCCTCTCTCAGGAATAGGATGTGCTCCCACCAGGCCTATTGCTTTCACATCTGCCTTTCCCACTGGACCCTTCATCTGACTTACGTGTTAAGGTACATCACCCTGTCCTTCATGTAAGTGTCTGCTCCTCCTTGTAACCTCAGTGCCTTGGCCCTATTCCCAGAGCAGAGAGATGCTTCAGAAATGGTTGTCAGATGAAGCAACACTTCAGCTTGAATGGTAGTGTTGCTTCTTCACAGCACCCCCAGCCTTCTTTCCTCATCTGCATCCTAGATTCATAGCGGGTTTGAGATAGGGTAGCCATGATCTTTGTTCTGTCTCTTCAGGGTCTGTTCCTGACAGAGGTAGACATAGTAAGCTTATGGGTTTCCACCAGAGGACTGAACACCTGGGTGTAGGCACAGAGGTGACATCACTTAAGCTTCTGGTGAAGACAGGCAAGCTCCAATGAAGGAGGTAGACATGACCTGGAGCACTTATGATAGGGTAAGCAGAGCCTAGCAACAAGTGTGCTGTGAAACAGGTCATGTGCACAGTGGCCAGAGAGGACGACTGTGCTCTCAAGAGGCCCACATACTAGTAGGTCCACCTTTAGGAAATGGGTCCACCAGAGAGATAGTTCCTACATTCTACTTCCTCTGACTGGCTCTACTGCTTCTCTAGTCTTGCCCGCCACCATCCTTCTAGCTCACTGGTGCATTGCTGGCCACACCCTCCCACATGTGATGCTTTGAATGAAATCCATCGACCCCGAAGATTCTAATCTAGCCTGTTCACAGGCTGGAATCCAGGGGTTCATGTAATATTGCAAGGCAGTGTGAGAAGTGGAAGCAAGGCTATACCTGTTGATAGTCCGGGCTAGAGGACGAGAGCACAGCAGAATGAAGCAGAGGTGACATTGGGAGTGGGGTGGGGTGGGGGTGGAGGGTATTGATATGTAAGACCATGTGTTCTGCGGGCTACAACTTGAAGAATGAAAGCCTTAAAGGAGGAGAAAGTGTGGGCAGAGACTCAGACTATCATGGGTCAGCATCACAAAGCATTTGGCATGCATCTGATAGTGGTTGGGATTAGACATGAGTTGGGAAGGGAGAGAGCAGGTGCTATGGGCTAAGTGAAGACTGGCATTGGGAACCTGCAGAAGGTTTTAGAGCTCCAGAAAAAAATGCTCCAAAACTCTGACTTAAAGGTCTCCCATATCACATTTAGCAGGAAAAGCCAAACTGGAAAGCGCTGGAAACCTGATATCCTCTACTTCTCTCTCCCACTTGTATCCATTCCATCCATTTTGAAAACCTGTTCCAGTCTTGTATCTTGTGCCCAGAATCTCTAGAACACTCAGCACATAACATCTCTCAAGTTGGGGGTTTTGACTTTGAATAGACACCCATAGGTAGACATATGCAACACCCTGAAGGCACCTGAGTACCCACTGTCTACAAAAACATCAACTAAAGTCCTGCTATCAACCACCAGGCCTGCAAGCAGGTCAGATGTCTTTCTCCTTGCCATGGATGGGGGCAACTGCTGAGAATTTCATGAGATTTGGGATTCCAGGGATTTCTCTGCTCAGGTCCTTGGTCAAGTCAGACCTCCATGGCATTCATGATAGACCTCAAGTATAGCACATTATGACCACAGCCTTTGGGAATGTTGTCTGCAGTGTAAAATATGTTGATTTTGTGAGTTCCTGCTTCCTTAGCCTTCTTAGTTATAAAGTTTGGTAAGATTGTTAGCAGATTTCGAGGCTTTGTGCCTTAAAGACACAGCTAGCTTTTTATCAGTTTTCTGAGCATAAAGTATTGTTCACTGAATACATTTGTCTCAGTCCCCTTGTCAAATGTTCCACTGTTGGAGTCTTTTGGGAGCTATTTTATTGGGTTCATATATCTACCACAATTCGAACCCTTCTTCTTTCCCAGTCCCTTCCAATCCCCCAACACTAGGTAGGAGAGAAAGAATATTAGAAGGAAAGGGGCTAAAGACTTCTTTAGACTTCTTCCTGCTGATTAGGGGCATCAGGTTCCTTGGGGCAAGTCCAGTCTTCATGTCCTCAGGATGTAATCCAGCAGCATCAAAAGCATCACCAAAGAGCAGCAGCGGTCATAGGCTCCCTTGGGGCTCTCACATTTATACCCTTTCCAGAGTCCCCAGAATTAAACTATCAGCAGCTGGCAAAAATCACACTCCCCTAGACCATGAGGCAATCATAGTTAGTTGCTATGGACAATCTGAAGCAGCCTCATATCCCACACTTGGGGTTAAAAAATATATATTCACATAACATAACTGAGTTTTTAAAGAAACCAAAATTCTCACTACATTTCATTCATACATACTATGAATTTTTAAAAATCCCATTTCTTGTAAAGGTTTTGTATAATTTATCTTGTCCTGAGTTTGCACACACACACACACAAACCTATTATTCTGGGTGACAAGGTCTTCTGGGAAGATTAACAGGACTGGAAGTTGGTAGTGTCTGGCAGGCTCTGGTGCTAGTTGGGCACAGAAAGACATCGTATAAGCTAATAACTGAGGCTCAGTTGATGATGATAGCCATGCCCAACATCCAACCTTCTTTTGAACATTTAGCATAAATGCCACTGCTGGGAAGAAGTCTCTACTGGCTTTGCTCCATCGCCATCCAGACATGTGCTGAAGCACAGAAGAGCTGGACACTTTCTTTTCTCACCAGAGTAAAGTTTATCTTTCACAATATGGGCATCTGCCAGGAGAGTTTTCTCCAAGCTCCCCCTTCACTTGTGAGCAACTAAGAGGTTTTAGTCCAACCAGGAGGCAGACTTCATTTCCGACCATGAGGCTAGCCAATTTCTGATTGTGTATTCCCTTGTGTATGTGAGGGTGTACACCCTCACTCCCAGGCTGAAGGACCAGAGTTCCCACAGAGTTGCTTGATAGACCCTAGGATGGCCATCTGAGAGGCTGGAACAATACTGGGACCTTTGGAAAAGCATATTGGGTCATGGATTTTGCCTGTGTGAAATGAGAGCACAGAAAGCTAGAGACTGCAGCACACATCTGTAACTGAAGCTCTAGGACACTGGAGACAGGGTCTTGATGGCCACCCAGTCTAGGCAAATCTGTGTTCTCAGGTTTAGTGAGAGACTGTTTCTCAAAAATAGAAAGTCGGAGAACTGAGAAAGAAACCCAACTCCACTCATGTGTGTGCATATACACACACAGTTGGGCACACACCCAAACAAGGTTTTCTAAATTGAGAACTTAGGGTTGCATTTCAATCCAAAGACCTGGTGAGATTCCATCATCTTAGGCCTAGTTTTGCTCTACAATGAATGACATTTAAAATGCTCTGTTCCATAGCTTTCGTTTTTCGTTTGTTTGTTTGGTTGGTTGGTTCAACTGGGTCATCCCAGGACATCTGTGAGCAGGGAGACTGGGCATGTTCACAAAGCCTGTCTGATATAACAGTATTGGCTTATGAAACCCATGTGAAGGAGGCTTATTTTCCTGTAGCCCTCAGTGCATGCTGAGGTCACCATGTGTGTAGTGAGTGACCCTCTCCGGAGCCTTGACCCATCCCTCTGCCACCCATATGGTGCGTTCACGGCCTGATCATTGAGCCGTGTTCACGGAGTAACTTTTTTTCTGTGTCATTCACTTTTGTCTTTTTTTTCTTCTTCTGGTGACTTCTGCATCTGCCGGTCACCAACTGGCACTGGCTTGACAGCTCAACTTGCAAAACAGCGTGTAGATACAGACAAGGTAGGCTGAGGAGCTGAGCTGAGGTAGTGTCCTACTGGTGAGAGTATGAGCCAAAGGGTTTGACTGTGGAGGAGGCGTGGCTCCTTCAGTCATCGGCCACCTGAGGTTACCAGGAGCTCCAGATGATCTTGGGTGACTTCATTGTGTGCTTTGGGACCTTAAAGTTAATCGTATGTGTTTGTTTATGCACCTGACAGCAGATGTCTGGAGAATCAGATTCCTTAGAACTGGAATTTCAGGCATTTGTGACCTGCCCAGCGTTGGTACTAGAAACCAAACTCAGCTCCTCTACAAGAGCAGTGTGCTCCTAAATGCTGAGCCATCTCTCCAGCTCCCATGGCATGCGTGTGATTTTTAACATGTCATCTGACCTGCTTGGTGGGATCCTACCACCAATATTATGTTTATCAAAGGAGCTTCACTGGCTTAGCAACAGCAGAGACTCATTTACAATTTGGAACGTGATCTTATTCATTTATTTATAAATGTGGACATGTACATGTATGGTGTATGTACATGCGTGTGGTTTGTTTCCAGAAACAATTCCAATAAAGGAATTCCTTCCTTTACTTACGTTTGAAGCTTCACCATATAGTGGGCCTTGGAGATTATTATTATGTCCAAAGAGAACAGACTTGAGGGAGTTGTGCACTTACCGTCTTGAGCACTAGGTGGCAGTCGAACTCCATATTCAGCTTTCCAGTAGGCAGTGTGGCTGATCTAGGCAACGGTAGGGAAAAGAGGACCTTGTTTATTTGAAACAACCCCACTGCCTGGTGTAGGTGTCAGCAGGTCTGTGTTTGGGCCTTATTACCTAGAAGGGAAATATGAGTTTTTGAAAAAAAATCAAAAACCGTCCATGTTGGGTTTTAAATTACAGAAGAGCAAAGCTAGCTCAGTGCAGTGTCTGATGTCCCATGACCCTGCCGTTCTAGTTACTTTATTTGAAGAGTCCTGTCCTTGTCCTCTTCTACAGTAACCATCTGGGAATCTTTGTCATCTCAGCCGTTTCCTGTCCTCTAGCAAATATGGGCCTTTTTCTTGGATGACCTTTCCCCAGAGCTGAACCCACTTCCTGTGAGGTTTATTAGCCTTTGATAAAGACAAATTTCTATTAGACAGTGTTCTCCTGGAGTGTCCAGATCTCAGGTGCCATTGTTTATGTGGCAGTTAGCCATGATCTTACTAACAATGGTCATTCAGGGAGAAATCACTAAATGGTTAAATGCATAGAGGAGTGGACTGGGGTGCAGCGTGGAGGAAGACTAGAAAGGAAGCGAGGGAGAAAAGGGAATACAATAAATGAATAAATGAACCATCGGTTGATTGGATAGATAGGAGGCAAGATGGGCCCCTGGATGATTGTTAGAGAGACAGATCTATGAATGAGTAGGTAGGTGGTAGGTGGATATGCTTGCATGGCTCTGTGGGTGGATGGATAGGTGAGTGGGTGGATGAACGCATAGATGGATGGTTAGTTGAATAGATGGACACATGGGATTGGTAAAGTGTCTGGTGGGATGACAGATGGACAGATGGATAGATGAGCGGATGGATAGATGGATTGGGTAATGTTGGGTGCTAGTTGGTATGGTCTAAACTTCAGCTATAGAACACGCAGACCAGCCTTCCTCAACTCTCTTCTTTGTTTCCCTTCTAGGTGGTGGGAATTTTTGCTGGATTTGGTCTCCTGCTCTTAGTGGCCTCCCCTTTCTTGCTCCTGGCCACACCCTTTGTACTTTGCTGCAAATGCAAGTGCAGTAAAGGTGACGATGACCCATTGCCCACCTAGAGAACGGCATGATGCTGGAACAGACCCCTTCCTCGGGACATGTGGCTCCCCTATCCCCTCACATCCCTCTCACTAAACATGTTTTTTGCCTTATGTGCCCCTTCGAGCTTCAGTGTCCGGCTTGCTGCAGAGATTTCAGGGATGACACCAGCAAGTGGGCAGAGGCCCAGGTGTGGTCTTCTGGGTGCTGCTGAGGCAAGGGAGGCAGAAGTGGGTGGGGGACATCCCACAGAGTCATTCTGTCTGCAGACCTGGCTGGAGGTGGCATCAACTGCATATCAGGCAGTTTCCTCCATAGACTGGAAATGTCCAGTGGGAGTTTACGAGACCCACTTGGATAAAGGGACACCTTGGCTTCGAGATGGCACTGTGTTGTCAGTAGAAGTTTTCAAGGACTAGGACTCTCTTCGCCAGCACCTGAATATCTGACTTGAGAAAACCACCCTGTTTGTGACAACTGTTTTTATTCCTAGAGGCATTTAGTAAAATCCTTTTTAGAAGGCTTTTTCCCCCCTGTCAACTGAGTAGTGAAAAATCAATAAGGTGCGTATAAACCATCCTATGCCTTTTTTCCAAAATGTGCATTTTATGAAGTTATAGATAAATCTATTCTGGCCTGACCATTTTTTTTCAGGAGCTACAGAAAGCCTTATGCACACTCTGTGTTTTTCTTGGAACCTGCTGTAATCAGTATTTGAATGCTGTGAGCTGTGTACTGTTACTCACATGGGCCCCGAATCACTGCATTTCTTTGAAAACACTGCGACATTTGAAGGGTCATCCCTAGCCTTCCACCATTGCCCTCTGCCCCAGTTCAGATGACAGGGCGCACCCTTCGTCCACTTCCCCCCAGGTGGCGCCAGATGCCTTTGAGTATCTTTAAACCAGATGTTTTCCTCGGAAATAATTTTACTCCGAGTGACTCTGTTTTGATTTCTTTCCCCATGTTTTAGGTCGGCAGCAAGGAGACAGTGTCTTCCATCCCTGGGGAACTCTTGGAGGCTGGGTTGAGTCTAGTCATTGTTCAAATGCTTTAAGTAATTTGAAAAATCATGTGACTCACATAGTCTGAACCCTGTGGTTAACCAGTTTGTTCTTGTTAGGGGAAAAAAAAATAAGTGAAAAAATGGAAAAGGAAGGAAGGAAGGGAGGGAGGGAGAGAGGGAGGGACAGAGGGAGGGACCCTTCTGTTTCATTTAATTATTCTGATGTGCCGAGTTTGTGAATTGATCCTTTCCTGGGCTATGTGACAGTTTCCATGTCAACAAAGAGCAAGATAATACAAAATCACAGATATTCCGTGAATTAACTCCGAAAATAGAAAGGAGTGCTTTCTTTCAGATTTGGCTTTCAAAGTTCAGTGTGTTTCCAGGGAGCAGGCTAGGGATGCAGAGGTCTGGGGAATGGGTGGCTGGTCTGAAGGTATCCTACAAAAGAGTAAAGCAGACAGAGCCCTCTCATCTCAGCCATTTGTCTACTGCAGGCACATCCCTAGTGGCTGTCTGTGCGACTCTGCATTTATGGCTCAATGTCAAGCCCTAGTGGACACTCCCTACAGAGAAATGACTTCATTTTCTTTATTTTTAATTGACATTGAGTAACTGAGGTAAAACAGAACCACTGGTCTCTTACCCTCTGGTACTGATTTTCTTTATTAAGCTAAAGCCTTTTAGAAGCTCAGTCCTCATCAAAACCACACTCAAAAAAAATCCCCTGGGTAGTTGCAAATTACAAGTTCACTAAACAGGTGTGACTTTGTCTGAGACCTTTTTTCTGGATGAAGCCAAGGCCTTGAGCCTCTGTGGTTGGAAACATGAGGAAAGGTGGCCTGGCTTTTCTGGAAAGGGCTGACAACTTCATGTGAGTCAGTAGCTGGGATCTGAGACCTCTAGCCTCCAATTTGTATGAGAAGCTATACAGCTACTACCCCTTAAAATGCCTGTCAGGAGTCTCGGCAATCCTGGGCCCTGGTTCCTTCCTGCCTTGCCTTGATTACTGTTGTCTGATCATTGTTCAGTGGCATTCTGTTCTTGCAGTGGGGGGGGGTGACTGCAGCACAGGCTCCCTAATCAAAGATGGGGTCACCTTATATCTGGGAGACTTCTCTGGATGTTCACAGACCTCTGTAACCCCACCCACTCTCACACAGTAGCCTACAGTGGGCTTCCTAAGCACATGGCTGGACACAGATGGGAACCATAGGGACACTACGGACAAACACGTGTGGCCAGAGCATCCTGTCTTTCCTGAGTCTTTGTATCAAGCACATTTACCCAGTTGGCTTTAGTGATAAAACCTAACTTGTCCATTCCCTGTAGAAACACCAGCAAGACCATGTTGAAATATATAAACTTGTGTATCTTCCCTGTGGGAGTCCTTTCAGTAGAGGCTACCACATGCATTTATTATGGACATTTAGCTTGAGATATGTGTGATGTGAAATGCACATGGAACAGTAGAGATGTCTCCAGATGCAGCTGGTCTCTGTCAGTCCTAAGAAGCCTGAGGGGCTCTGTGATCAAGCGTGGCCTCATTTCAAGTGTGGTTCATCAGAAGTGAAAATGGAGTTCCCTGAGACAGACTGTTTTCCTGAGGGAAGACCTGGCCTGGTGGAGAAGTCTTAGTGACAGGCTATGGGGCTATTTAGTATGGCTTCACTGAGCCCTTGCTGCTTTGTGGGTTATCGGCAGCTGGCCATGCTCCAGAGTCTTACTGGATGTGCTTATCTCTCCCAAACTCAGTCCTGCACCTTGTGTCCTAGGTGGTGAGGCTTTACATTCTCACCCAGGGTGATGCCTGCAGAGGCTAAGTCCTGATAGATGTTCATGGAGGACCGGGCAACAGCTCCTTGCAGGGACAGTGATTTGGATTCCATGACTTACAGCAGACCTCACTATCCAGGAGTAGCTCAGACTGTGGAACAAACACTTGTCCACCCATCCCCCTTTCCTACCTATCTTGAGGAGAAGAAAGTCTCTGTCCAGTATATTATTCCATAAAGCAGATGTGAGACTCTGGCCAGTTCCCACTGAACACAGTGCAGATGGGAGGAAGGATAGTCAGGTTTGAAAAACTGGCTTCAAGGTGAATTTATCTTTTCCATTGGAGTTAGAAAGGAGAAAGGTTATTTTATGAATTAGAAGAGAAGCGTTTTCCTTGGTAGTCTTTAAAAATTAAGGGATTGGAAAAAACAGGGAGGATTTATTTTGTATACTTCCCAGATTTCCACTGATTAATGTACTTGTGAATATATATATGTAAATCACAATGAAATTATCAAGGAAAACCATTTTGCATGTATACCATTTTATGAAGGTTTCCTTAAAGAAAATAAATACCAAAGCTTGTTTCTCCCTCACAATAAACCCAAACCCTTATGGAGTTAAATGAGGTGAAGAAATTTGGCTGTTGCCAAAAACTCAATCAGGAGGGAAGGGCTTATGTTCAAACAATTACTGATGCCCTGTGACTAGGGGAACGCGCCCTTTTGGTAGTTAAAAATGGTCCCCAGCCTTCCTGACTTGTATAATCCTGTCTTCCAAGATCCCAGGGCCCTTCAGTTAGGTGTAGCTGTGTGCCTCGTGCCTGACTTTCCTTTTATACTTTGCTTACTTTGCCTTGGGTGTATTTTAACCTTGTATAAGAAACATGCATGTGTCAGTCATGCGCACGTGCACATGTATACATTCTGTATTTGACAAATGGTGGTAAGACCAAACAAACAAACAAAAAAAATTGCATTTGTGGTTTTGCAATGTGAGTACACTTTGTACCACTAACACTGTGATGTATAAGAGCTGTCTGAATGCCTTTTCATGTCTGTGATTTGTACTTTAGAATCCTATGGAAACATTTGATTTATAATTTCAATACATATTTTAAATGTATTGTGTCTTATGTAGTCTGTCTCCCCTTTCAAAGGGATGTCTTTTTAAAGGTATTTTGGCTGGAATACAGGTGATTATTTTGTAAACCCTGCCTGGCTCCATCTTTTATAGCTGCTTCATTGACTAGCCTGAAGATTGCAAAATGAATATGGCTGGAGGTGGGAGGGGAAGAGGGACAAATAGGAAGGAAAGAGGGGGATCTTGCCACTTGGAACACAGCATGTGTGTTCTGAGGCTTTATCACCGTGACAACACACCCAACAGAAGCAATGTAAGGGTTTATTTTGGCTCGTAGTTGAAGATGCCAGTCTTTTACAGTAGAAAATAGAGGGCAGAGTCCTTAGCAGCCAGTATGTGTTGCTGTGACTCTTTACATCTCAACCAAGTAGGAAGCAAGAGAGGAAATGGCTGGCGTTCAGCTGGTTTTCTTCTCTCTACCTTTTTATTCATTCTTGAATCTCAGCTGCATCCGTAAATGACTATAGGAGTACAGGGAAGCTAGTCACAGGGCATCCACCATCACCAAGTGCAGGGGGAAATGCAGAGGAGGGAGGGATGCTGATGTTCAGCATGCTTTTTCAACAAAATTTGGTTCATGGCCCATCCATGAGATGGTATTGCCCACAGTCATGATGCCCTCCTTCTTCAGTTAAATCCTAATAGAATTACCCTCATAGGTAGACCCAGAGGTCTGTTTGCATGGTGATTCAATGAAGATTGACCATCATACCAGCCCATGAAACCATTTCTCCCACATTAAAGATGGATCTTTTCCCCTTAGTCTGTAGAAATGCCTTCATAGGCACACTCAAAAGTATACTTCACTATTGACCAAGGTATTTCTTGATCTACAAGTTGATAATGAATATTAAGCCTTACAAACTCTCTTAAGAGTAGTCTCGACTCTCAGGTGCTCAGATCACCTAGACAATGGGGTAAGTCAACTTTTGAACCATCCCCTCATTTCTTGCGGTGATGAACCCGTGTTATATCTCCAGGAAGGATGCAGCATATGACATGGCTCCATCCATGTGCACTAGCCATGCTGTTATACTTTAATAAGGGCTCTTAAAATACCAGTGGCATTCTTTTGAATGCTGGAAAAAGTTCATAATACAATACAGACACTTCTGATAATAAAGGCAGCCATCTTTCCAAATCCACACGGCATTGGTTCTAGGGTCCCCTCTGACAGTGGGACAGGTAGATGCCGAGATCCCTTATATAAGACAATAAAGAGTTTGCAGTCCACATGCACACATCCCACTGTTGACTTTCAGTCATCTTCAGGCTTTCCTCAAAGCCTAACACAATTCCAGTGCTGTATTAGTTACTTTTCTGTTGCTGTAATAAAATCCCATGAAGAAAACCTACTTAAGGCAGAGAGAATTTGCTTGATTATCCAGACATATAGAGTCCATTACAGCAGGAAATGCATGGCTTGGAGACAGGAGCAGGAAGCTGAATGATCAATCACATTTCATTTACACATAGGAGGCAGACAGTGGCAAAAAGGAAGATATAGACTCTCAGAGCCCACTCCAAGTGAAGTACTTCCACTCGTAGCACTGTACCTCCTGAAAGTTCTATACCATCTCCTAAACAGCACCACTAACTGGGGACCAAGTATTAAAACACATGAGCTGATAGGGAACATTTTCCTTTCCCTCACAAGTCACCACAGATTCTCTGTAAGTAGTTATTATAGAGGAATAACCACAAGGAAGAAAGTCTACACATCCAGTGCAGAAGTGACTTTTAATTTTCCCTAGATATCCTCCCCTCAACGGGTTGACTCTGCTGATAGCAAACCTACATGTAAACATAACAAAGTTCACAGAAAGCCAGAAAATTAGTACATATCCCCTGGAGTTTTCCATCTGCCTCATTTGAACTTTCTAGAATAATGTATACCTCATCCACTAAGGTGGATCTAGGAACAGGTAAAAGTTATTTGTCCTGTATTGAAGTTGGAAATATGTGCATAGTTTCAAGACATGGGTGGTGGGATGAGTTCTCTGATAACTTGTTCATATGGGCACTGCGAGGGCTCAGTGCATTGATTACTTGTCCTTTTCCTGTGACCAAAAGTGTGGAAGAGGGGATTTACTTTGCTTCACAGTTCAAGGGTATAGTCCGTTATGGTGGGGGACTCAGGGTCATAAGACCACGAGGCCGCTGGTCCTGCTGTAGCTGATGTCAGAAAGAAATGAGTGCTAGTGCTCAGTGCATCCAGCCATTCCTCA